CCCCAGCCACGGCCCCTTCCTGCACCACGGCATCATGGCCATGAACCAGGACGACTCGCAGCCCATGGTGCGCCGCTGAAACCGCTCCCCCTCACCCACCCTTCAAACACACACATGCACGGTCGCACGCACACTTATTGCACGCACACGCACGCCGCCTTGTGCCGATCGCCCCGTCGCGCATTCATCAGCCTAGCCGACCGGTTCTGAGTGTTTGCAGGAGCTGGTCCATCGTTGTCGTTTTGCAGAGGGCCCCCAAGCGATGCTCTGCCTGTGCGTCGATGTGCCAGCCGTCTGCACCCTGGCGTCCCCCCGCGCGGCGCGGCCAGGCGTTGGCCGCACTCCCCACGCGTCCGCTGCCGCCTCACCCGCCGGGCCGCACCTCCCACCCCCCCGCGCAGCCGGCGGAGCGCCTGCCGCCGTCGAGCATTGACATTCTGTCCGGCTTCACGTGGCACCACGGGGGCTACCTCAAGAAATACAGCGGGATGAAGGGGGAGAAAACATTCCAGGCGCCCTCTGTGTTCCAGTGAGAACCCCGCGCCGGCTGCTTGGGGCTGCGCTCGAAATCCTTGTGGCTCCAAGGCTAGGGCAGGCAGGCTGGCCCCGCTTGACTCACCTGATGTGCTCCCCGGCCGCCTCGCCGCAACCCCAAAGCTCCTCCTTGTGCCGCAGCAGCCCCCACACAGCATCTCCCGCCCCGACCCACCCGCGCCCCCGCCACTTGCACGACTCATCGCGACTCGTCGTGACTCATCAGCACCGAGTACGACAAGGGGCCCGTGGGCCTCGCTTCCATCTACGCCACGCCCTCGCGCCCCGGGGTCGTGCGCATATTCGCGTGAGCGTCGCGAGCTGCATCATCATGCACATTATCGTTCAAAAACCCCATGCAAGCCGCCCGTGCGCCGCTCGCCACGCACGCTGCGCACGTCACGGCCCTTTGCGGCGCACCTGGCGGCGGCCCCCGGGCCTTGTTAGGGGCGTGCTTGGAACCCGCCCTGGGGGCTCCGCGTTCGCATGTGCATTTGATGTTCCGCGCCCGGCCCGCGCGCTGCCCTGATTTCGCATCGGTTCAAGAAGGGATGCAGCAACCTGCGGCCACAATCAGGACGGTTGTTTGCTATACAAACGCTTGCCCCCCGCCCGCCGTAAACTCCCCGCAGCAAGTTCACCTTCAAAAGCGCGCCCAAGGGGCTGTTCAAGCTGATGTCAAAAGTGCCCCACTGGGTGTTCCTGGGCCTCAAGCTGCAGGGTGGGTGTGTTATTTGCTTTCTGGGTAAAACAGGCGGCCGGCTGCTGTAGGGGGCGTTTCGCTGCTGGGGGCCATGCTTGCGCTGAGAAGCGCCCTAGGAAGTGTGTTTGGGTGGGAGGACGCCCTCTCCCTACTTGTTGTGATTGCTACTTGAAGGCACCCCGCGGCCTGGAACAGCGGCTGATGCCGGTGCAACTCGAGCTGCGTTGCTGCGGGCGCCGCGGCGCCTGGGGACAGCGTATGCCGCCTCTGTGCCCCCCGCTGTGCTGCCTGACTGGCTCCATCGCCGCTGCGGTCAACACAACCGTTGCTCAAGATTGACTTTCAAGCCCGGGAGCCCCCACAAATTCAAATTGCATCATGCCGTTAACCCTGATTGTGATGCTTGCGCGACTCGCATCCACCACCTTGAGTGTCCTGCAGACCAGGACACGGTCATGAACGCCAGGCAGGCGGATTACATGAGGCGCGAGGGGCTGACTCACCGCGATTACTACAGCCCCTCCCGCGCCGACGTCGGCGTGACCGCCGCACACGCCTGGTTCGAAAAGGCGGGGTGCGTGGGCTTGCGGGCCTTGGGGGCGGGCTGCTGCGCGCCACAGGCCGGCTGAAGGCACGCTCCGCACCCGGCAACGGCCCTGCAGCGGCTGCAACAAACGGCAGACTAGCTTGTGGACTTACTTGGACGCATCACGGGGGCCGTGAATTTGTGTGCCTGACCCCACCCCCATCCCCTGAATTGTGGCACACCGTGCAGTCTCTCAGGATCAAAGGACATCACATAATGATGGGTTTTCCTTGATTGCCCTAACCGCTGACTGGACCAATGCAGCCGTGCCGCTCGTCGTCTGACCCCATGGCGTATTGTACGTGTTGCCAACTTCCAAATCCAAAACAGGTACCAGGATATGTGGCGCGCGCGCATGAGCCCTGCCGCGCTGGCCACCGCCGCAGCCAAGCCTGACGCGACTCTGGATCAGATGCTTGACCACTGGGACCGCCACACCAAGCACTGCAAAGTCTGCCAGGAGGTGGGCGCGGCCACCCAATGGGCCAAGTGGCACGAGTGAGATGTGGACATTGACTCTCGGCTTGCCATGACTGCCATTGCAAAAGCTGAATGAGGCTGCTGACAGTTTGGAAAACATGCGGCCTGCTATGCAACGCAATTTGCTCTGTTCTTCACAGGGTATGGCTGTGATGGAGAAGGCCGCAGCGTTCTCGCGTGTCGCTGCCGTCGCCCTGGGCATCCTCGCCGCCTGCCTCGCCGCCGCCGCGCGCGCCGTGACGCCCGGCGCCGCCGCGGCCGGCGCAGCGGCGGCGTTTGCAGCGTGGCTGGCGGGGCGGCTGGCCAGGGAGTCCTACGAGAGGTTCGTCAGCGGAGCACCCGCGTGGCGGCGGGACGGCGGGCTCTCGCTGGTCAAGGGGGCCACAGGCGGCCCCATCAAGCTGTAGACAGGGCGCCTTTCGTGTGGTCGCTTGATGGCTGCCAAGGTCTACAGAGCCCAGCAGCAGCTGCAGCAGTCGGGTGGACGGTTTCAGAGGGTTTGAAGGTTTCATGCGAGGGCGCAAGAATCGTTGACGGCACTTATTGCGATTGCACTTGCACCTGCTCAAAAGATCACAACAGTTTCAACACACGCACAGCCGCACCGCTTCCCGGTGACACATGGTGACGTGTCGAGCAGCGCATGCTGCGCGACTCGCGACGGATATGTTTTCGCAAGCCAGTTAGCGACCCCTTCACGTGTTTGGATCACTAGGCGTGAGGGCCCGCCGGTGTTGAGTGGTGGCGGCATTACCTGACGCATGCGGTTTGAGCAAGGCGTCCCACCATTCATCTGACAAGGCTTTCACTTTGTTTCCTGCAGGTGAATGAGACAGGCAAGAGTGTTGTTTGTATGTGCCTGTGTGGCGTGTGCTGGACCTGCACCCGACACACGCTGGCGACAAATTTGCAACCACTGCCCCGCCGCTGGCTCAGCCAACCTGAGCTTGACGCCACCAGATTTCCTCTTTCCACCACACTTCCTCATGCATTCGCACCCCTGTTGTTTTCAGCACCACAGGCATTGCCATACACCCCAGGTTGAGTTGCCTCGTGCTTTGTCCCACAACCCTGGTGTTGAGTAGGGTGCTGCGGAGTTCTCGAGGTGCTACTCCCCACATGCACACATATTTGGCGCCCGTCCGCATGCAGGAGTAATTGATTGCACTATCAACAAACATCAAATATGATATGGTTCCAAGGTGTGGATGTGGAATTTTCTGGCACGAGAAATCGGAGCACTTGGCCAGATGTCAGCCGGCAACACGCCTGCGTCTGCTTGTGTTGGGTTAACCTCAGTTGCCCGTGCAAGTGGGCTGGCCAGTGCCCGCCAAAATCGAGCGGGCGCGACGAGGGCCCCGCAATCGGCGCCAGGCAGAGCTATTGGAGTTCGCCAGGACTCCTGCACGAGACGCGGCCAGGGCCGGGGAGAGATGCCAGCAGCTGGGGTCTGAGTTTTGTTCTACTTTCAGGTGGCCGCGTCAACAGGTGACACAGTTCAGAGTGATCTAAAGAGTGAAGGGTACACAGAAACACAAGCTAGAGGGCAGGTTTCGGTGGATGGGTCGAGCCACCCCACCATGCCCACGTGGCCACAGCTGTGCATGTATGCAAGGAGGTGCGTCCCAGGGTTCTCGGGCACAACCTCAGTCAACGACAAGGCACGCAGCGGCCGTGGCTGCAACTGGGCATCAAGTTGGACGCAGAACGTTGCCATCCTCACTAGTGAGTGATTCAAACGGCTACATCCACCAACGCTGCTGCAGCGGTGCATGTACTACCTCGGGCGCCGCTCCCGCCACCGCTGCTGCGGTGGCGGAGCAAGAGCGCCTCAGCCTGTTGCCACACCATCCTGTTGCCAGTCACCCACTCCGGCAGGGGGGTCCAAGGGCCAGCAGCTGCCCTTCAGGTGCCAACCAAATAATATTCCAGCCGCCTAGCAACAACGCAGCTGGTCAAAGGCTGCAGCTTTATAACGGCAAGTTTGAGCTGCAGTCCTGTTGCAGCACACTTCCCGCACATGCAGCTCTTGCCTGCATGACTAATGAAGGACCTCTGACACTGATTTCATGCAAGTCACTCACGCAGTCAGGAACATCCAGATGTTGTGACTTGAAACACCACCTTTTCAATGCAGGAAAACTGTAATACATCATACACGTCGTCAGATCGCCTTGAGGTTGACCGCTCTAATCGCGAAGGATGGCATCCTCACGCAAGAAAAGCGCAGCCGAGGAGTCCGAAGAGGCTGTTGATTCCATGCGACAGCAGCTGGAGAGGTATGCATCTTCCTGTATGCCTGCCTGTTCGATTGCATCATGGACTTGCTCGTACATGTGCTGTGCGTGCTGCTGCCCCACAGCTGTAGGCACCCCGCAAGATGTGCCTGGCGGAAAGCCGCCAGCAACTGATGCAACACATCTCATATTTGCTGCCCCTTTCCAACGGCGCCCAGCATGGCGCGGCAGCTTGACAGGCTGGGCGCATGCAACGCGCAGCAGAGATGGCAGCAGCACAGCAGCGGCGCTCGCGCAGACCGCGGCGTGCAGGCGGAGCTCTGCTGCTGTGCAGCAGGCTCAGTAAGAGGTGAGCCAGCAGATGCAGCTTGCCCTGGGAGCCCAACACACAGATCTATGCTACTGAGAATTGTTCCATAATTGTACTGTTGGCAGCACAATTGGCAGCGGCCCCAAAGTCCCTTCAGCGGATGCAGGATTAGGATTAGGATTGGACCATTGCAGGATGCGACGCGCATGGGGCTGCTTGATGGTGGGAGTTGGCCTGCCCCAAACCACAGGTGCTGCTCGGTCACAGGACAGTGTAATAGAGCCGTTCGAGTTTGAGAGGCCGCGGCGGCGCATCAACTGGCGCCGGCTTCACACCCTTGACCCTCAGCGGCTGGTGCGTGTGCGGCGTGAGTGGGGGGTAGTCGTGTGCCCACAACAAACGCCCCAGCAGGCAGGGTAGGGGTCGAAGTGCTCCGGCACGCACCCGCATGCAGATACGGCAAGCCGGAGGGGTCTGAATGCAGCCCAGCACTGCTAGCCAACGCAATTTTGTTTGGACTGCAATGGGTGGCGACACCACCGACTCCTGTCCAATCACGCGGCTCCGCCTCAGGCAGCCGGCGGGGGCGCAAGCATCCTGTCCACCCTGCAAGACACCGCTTATGGGGACCTGGAAGGCGAAAGCACCTTCAATATGTCGCAGTCAAACCTGGTCAAAGTGGGTCGATGGAACACGAGCCGACGATCGTCGGCGCCAGGCGCTCTCACGCGCACTGGCCCAGTTGCGTTGCTGAGCTTTGCAGTGCCGGATTGACGGGCAGCCTTTTTTTTTCACCAATCAAGGCTGCCACGAGTCTAAAAGTCCAGTTTATCTGGCCTCAATCAATCACTCTCGCATAAACCTGCCATATGGTCTGTCCATCTGTGTGTCTCCTCTACCCGCGCCCCATCCCGCGCAGCTCGTGGAAGTCTGCCAGGTGCAGCTGCAGTACCTCTCCCACCAGCTCGCCGCCCAGTCGTCCGCCCGCGCGGCGCTGGAAGCCGAGCGGGTGTCGCTCGCGGCGGGCCTGGCCCGCATGCCGCGCGTCAGCCTGGGCGACGTGCGGGGCGCGCTGGGCGTGCTGGGCGGCGGGGCCGCGGGGCTGGGGGAGACGGGAATCGATGGGATCCTGGAGCAGGTGGGGTGCGGGGTGGTCTCGTTCACTGTAGGGTGGTGCGTGCGGGCGCGGAGCTTGCCTACACCGGTGCGATTGCGTGTGGGCGAGTTTTAATTTGGATTTGGATTGCGCCGGTGCAGGGTACAGAATTGGGTTGTGCTTGTGTGGTTGCGTGCGCTGGTGCAAGTGCGTGAGGGCAGTACGCCTTCTGCCGCGCCCACCAGAGCAGCGTGAGGCGACAAGGTCAGGGTACACCACGGCTGACGCGAGAGCCTCGCACCCATCGCTCGATCTTGGGGTCGCAGGTGCGTGCCGAGGAGCGCATGCTCGCAAAGGCGGCGGTGGCGCACGCAGTCGAGGCGGCGAGACGCCATGCTGACGAGCGGCAGCCGGCGGACGCCAGCTTCCAGGCGGCGGTGCCGGCGCCGCCGCTGCTGCTAGGCAACGGTCGCAGCGGCGGCGGTGGTGGCGGCTGACGCGAATTGCGTGTGGGTGACGTTGATGGCGGACTGCGACGTGCCAGTCTGAACTCTGCAGCCGGTGGTCTGACCGTCAGGGCTCAGGAGGCAGAGGGCTTGCAGTGGCCCGATGCTGCTCAAGGCTTCTTCAAGGGGTTGCGCACCCTCAAGGAATCGGGGCATCTTGGCCTTATAGACTCGACAGCCGCTTGCCTGTTCACTGAGCGCTTAGGAGGTCTGGCGGTGCTCGTTCGCACATCGCGCTGGCAACTGATAGAAATCCTATAGAAACCTGCATATGTCTTCGTTGTGATCGTCAACTTGATTGTTCCAATGCAGTAATCGTCGGTGTGTTGCAGTGCCCCCTACTGTCAGGCTAGCCTGTGTGCAGGAGACACTCGAGTCTTCCTGCCCATAAGACAAGAGTTTGCTGCGTCCCTCCGCAAAGATGGCACAGCTAGTAATGCAACTCATCAGAACAGTGCAATACTATTGAATCAGAACAACGCAACTCTGGAACGCATTGGTAAGGGCGCGGAAAGGGCCTTGTCACTGGGCGTTTGCATGACACAGCCACCAGGCTGGCTGCTGGAGCCAACGCAAGGACGGTTTCGCATGTGCCTGGCCTGCAGCAGTACAACTGCGGCGAACGTACTTGAAAAACTCGTCGTTATCATATACAGCTGAAGTCTGGTGTCTTCACCACGCTTCGAGGTCAAAAGCGGGAGATCTCGTGTCACCCGCAACAGTTAGCCGACATAACGCGGTCGCACTCGGACGGGTCTTGCATACAGTCTCTTGGCCCCACTTTTGGACGGCTGGTACAGAGCAGCGTCATTGCTGCCGTCGGGGCACTCACCAGCTCCCGGCTGAAGCACAGGCCCGCAGCAAAATGGGAGCGCGCGGTAAAGGAAGGTGGGTGATAATAACAATCGCGGCTGGTACACCACCTCGCGAACGCATGCTGCAGCCGCGCCCAGGAGCGCCGCGCACGCGTACCAACACCGCGGCGCGCAGACCGCACCCGCCGCTTTGCAGCGATCCACCGCTCAACCCCTCCAACCCCCCTCCAGGCCGCGCGAGCCGGGTACCGCGCTCGGCTGCTGCTGCGGGTCGATCCCCTGGGTGCAGCTGCTCTGCACGCTCCTCATCACAGCAGGCCTCGTCGTCTTCTTCCTTAAATCGGGGGAGGCCTTCTCGTCGGTCAAAGCACTATTCACAGACCTGAAGGTGTCGGCATCCGCCCAGAAGGTGGCCGCCGCGGCCATGGAGGGCCTGCTGGCCGCGGGCATTGCCGTCGTGGTGGCGGCGATCGTGCTGTCGGTGGTGGGGCTGGTGAACAGCTGGATAGGCAACGCGCGGCGCTACCGCGCCAAGCATGGCGCCAGGGGTGAGGACGCGTCCCTTCGGAGGGCTATATTCTTTTACGAGGCAATTTGAAATCCTGTAAGCACGGCTGGGCGGGCCGGAGGTCAAAGCAGGCACGGCCGGCGTGAACAGCGCCGAGCCCGCTCCCCACGCCCGCCGCTCGGGCGGCAGCGAACCCGCCGTCGCTCAGGAACGTGCGGCCAGCATCCCTGATACCTTGCTGTCGCACCTTGCACAGCTCTATTCTTTAGCCGACCAGGACCTGTTTGCAAGGCCCCCTCGGTATCCGCACACACACACACACACACACACACACAGACACACAAACACACACACACACACACACGCGCACACACACACACACACACACACTGTCACACGCTTGCTCGCACTCGCCCACACTTTTGATCACACCTGAGCCTCATACCAAGCCGCCAACGCCCCGCTCGACAGTCACAGACGCGGCCTCATGCGGCTCTTGGTGCCAGATGGGCACGTCGGTGTTAGTCGTCCTGCTGATGTGGCTGACGCTGGCCCTCGTGGTGGCGCTCATCGCCGCGTGGACGGCGGTGCTCCTGGGTTCCATCTCTGGTGACAGCGGCGCGGGCTTCGCGATGGGGTGAGTGACTTCACCGCCTTCCCCTCGGCCGCCGCCGCCGCCAGCCAGAGGGGGGCAGGATGCACGTGAAGGGCATGCGGCCAGCCTGGTTTGCGTGGAATGCCGCGAATGGGCGCTGGCGGTGGCGTGGACTGGGCCATCGATTAGGCGGGCGGTGGTGGCGCGAGGGCGCTGATCGCTTGCAAGAAAACCAGGCCCGACCCGCCTTATTACTCGCCCCTCACTGGTAGTAGCCCCCGTCAGGCGCACATGCACCACCTTGGCCCTTCATGATTTGCAGCACTCGTGACGCTTAAGAGCTCACCTGGCGCGCCCTGCCCCCGGGGCGGGAATGCATCCTTCCCTCCACAAAGCCTCCACTCTCATTCCACCCTAGCCCACCCCCAGGCAGGCCTTATAGAATCCATCATACAGAGAGTCCTACCTCGTTTCCTCCCTTGAACACACACACACACACACACACACACACACACGCACACACAAATCACATCATCGACAAGCTGCTTTCCTCCTCTTTCGGACTCACACGCGCACCCGACTCGTGAGTACCCCTCACAATCACCCCCAACCCCCGGCCCCCACTCTCCCC